AGAACTTGGTAAAAAGCAGAACCCCATTATAAAGCTGCTTCACCTACCTATCCCCAATAGTTTCTCCTGTTCACAGGATCTTTGTTATGAAATCTAAACCCTTAAAACATCCCTATTAACATATCAGTATTCATATATGCTTCCAAAGGTATATGACCTTTGACCTCTGAACAACATAAGTGTCATTAAAGAGGTAAAAAACAACACCAAAAATACAGTGGTCGTCTTTCAATAGGGGTAAAACAACTGTATGCTCTGTTGCTAATACCTAACCCCCAAAAGGATATTCTTGGTAATGACAGTTTTCCAACCACTCTCTTTTAGGTTTCTTTCCAATACCTTTTTAACACTCTCTGTTTCAAAGAACAACCAGAATTTACTACCATCTTCCTTTCACAAAGGGCCCCCAAACAGATGATTTATCTAAAGCCCAGTATTCCCTTCTAATTGCAAACTCAACAATAGTGCCATAAGCACTATTCCACACTAAATTTAGGGTTTTTAGTTAACTCAGGAAGATCAAACTCTTTTCATGTCGGCCTCTTTAGGTATTTCCTACTTATGGAAGAAAGGGTCAGAAAGAGGTATTTAACGACCTGATGGGCCTTCCAGAATAGCCAACATATTTACTCCTTTAAAATATTATAGACATGTTTTACAAAGTCATAACAAAGCAGCCTTTTCTCAAATGCTGATAGAATATGACTGCCAAGCTGCATTCTGCATCTTAAGGTAAACAGAATAATAATGGACCTCCTATCTGAAATACAAAACTAGTAGCATGCCTCTCTGTAGAATAAAACAAACTACTTATTTCTAAACTGAGGAATATCAACAACTCTTCAGATCCCTGGAGGTAAAAGTGCTATTTTGCTAAATGCAGAAGAAAATACAACCCTCTTTTCTATTTACTTCCTTTTATACATGTTTATAAATATTTTATTGATAACATATCTGTAATATGATTACTAAAATTATGATTACTCTCAATTAGTTTTTTACAAGTAAAAAATATATGTTACTAAGAATATGTTCATGCTATTTTTACCTATTAATTGTCCAAAGTCTATTTATCCAAAGTCTATTTCTTTTCTCGAAGTTTACCAAGGTAAAACTCAAATGCCATTTGATAAAACAAAATTGTTTTAAAACTAACATCACCCTGACAATATAGATATCTGACTCATTTAATCATTTAGTATTATTAACATATGGAAAACACAGGCTCTCCTGATGTCAATTCAATACCTATAAAAAAAGATTCCTTAGCAACTAAAAGAAAATTCTGAAACTATGGGAAGAATTTACTTAAAAATAAGTTTTTATATTAAATCTTTTAGGAAAATACTTATTGAATCAAACATAATAAATACTATGAAAAGATCCTAGCCTAATAGGGGAGTCAAGACAGTTATAAAAATAACTGTAATAAAAAAGAAGGACTAGTGAATGCCACAAAAGATGAAAATTTAACAAAACACTCAAATCATATTTTCGGGGTTATCTTAGAATGTAAATTGAGATGCACTCAATGTCTATAAAATAAAGAAGTAATGGCATCTTTTAGACCATCCACTATGTCTTTTTCTAAAACGCTTGCTTCATTTCATACCAATATTAGAGGAAGAGAAAACTATAGAATGTGCTCAAATTTTAAGTGATAATATTCTAATAAGAGAGAGATTTTCAAGCTAATTTTTATATTACATACTATATGATTAAATTAAAACGCTTGCTTCATTTCATACCAATATTAGAGGAAGAGAAAACTATAGAATGTGCTCAAATTTTAAGTGATTATATTCTAATAAGAGAGAGATTTTCAAGCTAATTTTTATATTACATACTATATGATTAAATTTATCAATATGGTAATACCCGAGGACATATTAAGCTAATCTACCTCAACAGGAAAAAAGCTGTATGATTAAGAGGTATAGAAATAAGTGGACAATATTAAGGGAGATTTTTTTCTGAGCTTAGGTCTGAGTCTGTTAAGCAAAAAGTAAATATTACTGGTCATGGCCCCAAGTATTAATTTATAGGTTATTTGCTTTCTGTGGACAATTTGAAGATCTATCTAAGTTAGCTGAAAAGCATAACTGCATTAACTATTGAAGATCACCAGGAACTTAATGACATACAAATAAAGACAAACACGGGTTCAAACAATGGTAAGCGGACAACTTACAGAGGGATTAAATTATAGATCTAGCATAAGGACTTTGGAAATGTCTGATTCCTTGTAATAGAAAGTTGTTAACTATGTGTGTAACAAACATGCTAAAGAAAAATATATTTATGACACATGCAGAAAATATCACACAGGCAGAAAAATATTACAAAATCTATCTCAATTGAAGAAAAAATATTAAGAAAAACTACTTGAGAAGCATTATAGTCTTATGTATAATGGACAGAGTTAATAATAATACATTAGAATTACTATACTACATTTTTAAAAAGGTACAGATAAGACTCACAACATAGTTTCAAATTACAAAACTAGAGATTACAAATATCATAGATTGTCTTTAAGTAAAAAGACAAAATTTATATCACTGATACTTGAAAAGTAAAATCACAGCATGAGTTACAAATCTACAAAGGATCCAATAGCAAATTCATATGTGATAACAAACATAGCTTCACAGTCCTACAGTATCAACTTAGCCAAATTAGAGGACTAAAACATTTAATAAAAGTAACACTGTAAAAATACATGATATCAGAGCCATAACAGAATACCAACAAATTGTTCCCTGAAATCATAACAACTTTAATTGTGTACAATAACATCTGCTTTCATCCACATAAATAAAAATATATCTGTAATCCCCTTATAGAAAGTTTTTACACATGCAAGTCCCCAGTGAAAGAAAAGAGGCACTAAATTTCATTTAAATGAAGTCGATTTTCATCCTAACAGATTGGGGGTTTTATGTGTACCAGCTGATCTACGTTTGTCCTCCACTACGCATGAACTGATACTTTCATATACTTACCATAAAACCCAGAAACTTCGCTCCCTAAAAAAAGATTATTTAAATGTGTTTAAAGTGTCATTGAGTTAATTAGCATCCTACTTATCTAAGAGTTACAAAAACAGAAAGAAAATACCCATTAGGTTATTTCTTTTTTAACAGCTTCACAAGAAAATTTCTATCATGAACAACCTTAAATATTCTTGGGAAGTAGGCAAGGTAAAGATTAAGGAAGACAGTTAAGCCATTATATATATATGTGAAGGGTATAAATAGAACAATTTAGAAAAAATTTAAACTACTGATAAATATATTTGTTCACTCCCTAAGATACTTTCATCCCTTTTTTGAGTAATTAGCTTAAAAAGCATCCATCCCAGAGCAGAGCTCTTCGGTTAGTTTTCTAGGATTCTAACACTTCATTCTGTCCCTAATCACACCGTAGTGTTAGCTGAATATCAACCTCCCATTCCAGTGCAGAGCCGTGACAAGAAGCACAATGATGCCGTTGTTTTCAAGGGGATATAAAGAAAGCGATACACTGCAAACTCTTCCCATAATTATGCAGAAAATTGGTATAACTTATCGCAAATGCAACCTGTGTCACGGTACAACTCACCAGCCAATGACACACCTACGGACTAAGGTTTCTTCAAAAACACTAAAAACTGATGGGAAAAAAGTAGAACTCGCCATCTACCTGCTTCCCGTGATTCAATTTAAGTTTCATAAAACCACAAACCGATTTCCGAACACTCAAAAAATGTTGCATTTATCAATATCATACATGTGTGTTGCACACACACTATATACTCAACCAAGTTGTAAATTATCTGTTAAAAAAAAAGCTTACAGCATAAAACAGAATCCATTACCTTTTTCGTTCTTTCGAAAACCAAATAAATAGACAATAAACACTACTCCAATACAACTAAGAAAAAGACCATAGTAAGATTTCATCACCTCCCACCATAGAAATAAGACTGTAAAATTAGGGTTTCAAAACATGTATGTCACATTCAAAGCTAATGTACGTCCTGTAGCATCACTTACCTTCTCCGCTAAAGCTACATATAAATTTAACAGGTACGGGGCACATGCCAAGTGTCATGTAAAACATTCATTACAGATGTTTGTTCTCAAATGTTTACACGTAATATAATAAATCTTATTTAATGCAAACATAGTTGAAATTTAAATTAAAATCATGGCTATCCTGAACTCCCATTTTAGACAGACCCTCTTAATTGAGATTAAGAAATAAAAATAATTCTTCAAACCAAAATATTTTAATGAGAAAAGGTAAAACTATTTATGTGTACAGATTTATTCTTTTAGTTAATAAGGAAAACTTCATTTAAATTAGGTTCCTTATTTTAAAAAAGCAAATTTAGCAAATTAAATACAAATGAACTATTTATGGGCGTCAACAACATGATTCCCTATACTACAGCCACTACTCTTATCAATATATACCCCAATCACCATATACTAGTTGCTGTTGGAAAGACTTCACAAGCTGCTTTGTCAAGTTTTAAACTAAAATACTTTCTTTTCATGATTTCTCATTACATAACTATAAAGTCTCAGAAGAAATTCAAATAAATATCAGAAGTTTTATCTCATCATTATATCTATCCTTTGCGAAGTGGGAATTTCGGTTAAGTTTTAATTCTTGTACAGATACATCTGTTCTGTATCACTACCAAAACTACAAGGTAAAGAAAGCTCAAGTAACCACAGCAATAATCGCCTGCACACACAACCAACCCACCAAATAAAACCCTCTAGTTGATATCTGGATTCTGCAACAGAGATATCTACAAATGACAGACTTCTCCAGGACTGCAAAGCTGCTAAGAATTACACCCTAAAAGAGTTAATAAATCACAAAATATATTTGAGATCTAGAAACTTCTCTCCCATATCATAATATAAAGTAGAATGAACAAAACAGCTCATTTAAAAAGATCTTTTAACTCATTACATTTCCAAATCAGCACATGAATGTCTTACTGGTAAACTTGATGGTCTTTCTTGTTGGATTAAGTTCATGTCTTCATGGTTAGGTTTTCCGGGGGCCAGAGGAGGTTGAGACCTAGTTCCATAGCCTTCCTGAGACATGTCCTAAACAAACACAAAGCACTTCATAAACACCTCAAGGAGTTATAAGTTTCCTTGGTAACCAAAATGAAGCAAAGGCTTATCACAAACTATCACTGTTATATTTTAGCAGACATATAAATATGCTATCACTATGATTTCTTTAACACATTATCAAAAGCATTATCAAAAAACAAAAAAGCAGTTAATCATTAATAGCAGAAATATATATATGTGTATATAAAATTAACAACTAAATTTATTATGAGACCACATAACCTAAGCATTGTATTTGAGTTTTGCAGGAAGACGACTAGTTAGTAAAAACTGGGGAGGGAGGTTAGCCATAGCCAAACTGTCTTTTAACCCAAAGCAAACCAAAAGTTCATTTTATTGCTTGATTCTGATTTTGATCGTATTGTTTAAATTCTAAGTTTGACCAAACTGCCTTTTATATTTCCTCAAAAAATTCAAATAATTAATAAAACTTTCTTATCAATGGAAACTTAATATGTCCTTTCAATTAGTCACAAAACTGTATAAGTTGTTATTAAGCTCATAGTTTCCTGGGGTTTCTACAAACCAATAAATACTCACATACATAACTCCATATGTTCATGTGGCATAGTTTTCAGAGAAACACAATAAAGAATAAAACAACAGTGGGGAACAAAACACACCTAAAAAACCTGCTGAGGGATAAGAAACTTATCATTAACTTGGCCTTTCTGGTATCTTGCTGAACTCTTTTCCACGAGGTATTCTGCACGGTTTCAGCACTGTGTTGAAATAAAATTATGCAAGGATACTTCCAAAGGTTCGTGGAAAGATTAGTAATTCTATTTTTCCACAAACTTTTTGAAGTAAGTTTGTATGATCCAAATATCACACCACACCACATTTACCATTTACCAGATCTCTAGTTATTTAACTATGTATGCTCAGTTACTAAACATTCTACCATCATTTTACACCTGAACTGGAAGAGCAGGACAGAATGTTAAATACTTATTACAGCATGTCTCAGTTGGCACTGAAAGTTGAAGAACCAGTTTCTAATTAGAGAGAAAAAAAAAAAAGAATGGAAAATATTGCTTTAAAATAAAATTCTCTCCCTTCCCTTGTCAGTTCAAATAAGTGCTGGCATTAAAGAAACATCATACATAGGTTCTACATCTCCTGTTAAAATATATTACTTCAAAAATTAATGTTTATTAGTTGAAACCCTATAAAAAGCTTCTGCTGCCCCACCCCTTTCTCACACAGTATACGCTTAAAATTACAAGGCTTCTTATGCCAAGAAACTGTGGGCCAATAGCTGGTACTACAAAGTACACAGGCTGTTCAGACTAGATGTAACTAGCCGAGTGTTGGTGCGACCTGCCTTTAAATGGGCTCTGAAAAAAGGAGCATGCCAAGAACGCAGCACATTCACATGCAACGCTTCTTCCCTTAGATAAATCTCCACCAAAAAAACACAAAACCAATTAGATATTTAACCTCTAATGGAAATGTATAATATACTTTTGTAAGAGAATTCAATCCCAGTTGTCCAGGTTTTTATTCGAAAACAATACCATAAGAGTAAGCACATGCAATCCAAGGACACTTGAAAGGTTTGCTCTCCAATCTGAGTGCCAGCAGAGAGTAACATTTCGGCTGGTAGGGGACAAAAGCAAAGGCTGAAAGATTATTACCACTCTCACCCCCTCCCATCAACACCACATTTCACAGATGTCCACTTGTCAAACAGACTTCCCGCTGGGTACCATGCAGTTTCCTTCCATAAACAGCAAGGATTTCAAATCAAGGAGGGCACAAGGCCTCCATTCAGGGCCTTTGCCCTGTTACAAGAAAAGCACAAAGGTGCAGGGAGCCTCACAATGGGCAGGCAAGTGGGCAGAGCCCGCCTCATTCTCAGACACGTGCACTCAACGTGCAGAGCTCAGGGGCAGTGCCCTGACATCGTTTTAGCAAACTTCAGTTAAAAACAGTAATAGGTTCGCACGTCCTGTGCCTTTTACATTTTTTTTTTCTCTTCATAGCTAAGCGAACTGTTTTTTAACAGAGTTGAAAAAGACCATTACAACTCGCGTGGGTACACATTTCGATTTAGATATCATTCCCTCTAAAGTAAGCAACACTGAACTAACAGACTAGGAAAGCCATCAGAAAAATTTATTATGACTCTACATTTCATTTTTTAAGGCTTTAGAAGTTCAAAATAATTAGATTCTACCAAAATCTCAAATAGTGTTCCTAACACAAAAAGCTTTCAATTATTAAATACGGTTGGAAATAAAAGTGAAATAAAATTTAGTGGGAATCACTGGAAAGGGAACTTGTTCTGCCTCAGTTTATGTTTGAATGTAAGGATGAGTTTGACTGAGAAAGCATAAAGAAGGTTACCAAGTTTTAATCTGTAACAATGATCATCTATATGTAACTTACAGTGGGACTATAAAGTCTACGTTTGGCTGCTCTAACAAAGACATAAAAGTCATATTCCATAAAAAAAAACTTGAGCTTTTTCACCTTTAAAGCTATATCTATTTTTTTGGCATTTACTTATTTTCACCCCAAGAAGAGTTAAGTACAAATAAGTAATTTAACAGACAATAAGAAGGCAATGTCAGCATCAGAAAAAAGAATACGTTCCGCATCACATTTTATAAATGAATAAGCACAGCTTTATATTTTAAAACATTATTGCCATCTTTGGTCATTTATAAGTTTAAACTAGTACATGCTAGTGTGTAAACTAGTACAGACATATAAATAATTACCACATTTTATCTGCCATATGTATAAGAAGTCATGACTTTCTAAAAGAATATCATATTGCAATAATACTGCAATGCACAAAAACCAAGCAATGGGAATGTGGTTTTACTCTTTCAGAATTCCTGATCAGTATTTTTCTATATCTCACCCATAAACTTTTAACCATTCAAAAGCTCTGGTCTTAGCCTTCTTTATCTTATGAGGCAAAGATAAAAGGGTAACTGACTCCAGCAACAAAAGTGTAAAAAGAGTTTGGGGTAGGGATATGTACACATTTGTTTCAGAAAAGTTCACTTAGGTGTTATCTTTTAACACCTGTAGTAGACATTTACTGAACGCTTACTACGGACGACCTGCTTTGCTTGGTACTATAACGTGTAAGCAGCAGCATGACCAGGAGGGAAACACCAGCATCCCACTTCCACTGTAAGAAGAGGGAAGACCAAAATTGTCACAAGAGTCTAGTGGAAAGGCCAGGAGTATGAATGCTTCTGTTTCCTTTCATCATAAAATGAATGGCAATATGAGACTTTGAAGAAAATGAAGAGTAACTAAAATGTCAAGGACACTTTAAAAAAAATTAAAAAGAGAAAACATTCCCATGGTATAGGTTTGAAAGATAACAAAGAGATAAATAATGAAAAGAAAAATTGCCTCCTTCCCAGGATCCACTCCACAAAGGTTACTATTGCTAACAGACTTTGTTTTTCCACAATTTTTCACTGTGTTACCAGGCATAAACGCGAATTTAAATACTTTCTCCTTTGTACACAATTGGGGTATATGTTCAATAAAATGCACAGTTTTCAGTTACTTAACAATATATTAGAGACACCTGCAACTACATGTCTACTTCATTCTTTTGTGTGTGTGTGTGTGTGTGTGTGTGTGTGTGTGTGTGTGTGTGTTTTGTTTTGTTTTTTTGGCAGCTGGCTGGTACAGGAATTCAAGCCCTTGACCAGGTGTTATCAGTACCACCCTCTAACCAAGTGAGCTAACTGGTCAGCCCCTTTATTCTTTTTAGTTATGATTACATAGTATGGCATTATTTGTAGATGTTGTAATTTAACCAGTCGCCCACTGGTGTATACACATTTAGGGTGTTTCCAGCCTTCCCCTACTTCACACAGAACTATAATAAATATTCTGGTGCATACACCTTCATGTGAAATATTTCTATAGCATAAATCTCTACAGGTGGAATTTCTGTCAGTGAATTAATACATTCAAAATTTTGATAAATACTGGCAAAAGTCTCTTAACAAATGAAGTGTCAATTTACACTCATAGTCATCATTTTTGGAATAGAACAAAACTTTCTCAAAATGTTTATGTTAACATCACAACATATCCAACTACTTTATAAAAAATAGTGAAGCCAGAGCAGGGTGGGTAGGTGGATTGGACAGACAGTTACAAAAAAGCAAACAAAGAAAAAAAAAAAACTTAAGAGCATGTGGAGTACAAACCAAAGGAAGACAGAGGAACAGATGTGGGGAAGGAGCACCATGGTGCTAGACTAACTAATGGCAGTGGTACTAAGTAGGAAGTGGGTGAGGCTACGACTAGAAGCCAGCAAAAGCTTGCTGTCCTAACAGTCCAACAAAGAGCTTCAGGTTGGAAACAAAAAGCAATAGGGCCCACCATGGCTTCTGGATCTGCAATACGTGATGATTCTTGTGCTATTTAAGAAAAGTTTTTCCAATCATTACAAGAAGTACAGAAGTGCTAGGAAGAGAGTGACGATGGCCACTCACTATTATTACTGCAATAACTCAGAATGAGGAAATGAGGATTCGGGGAATCTCATAAAATTCTGTGTTCTCTAGGTCAGAATAACTTCTTGCTCCTTTTCTCTCACTGCTTTGGAAACTCCTATCATCAATTCCAGCTACTAAAGGGAAAATAGAAGTCGTCCTGGCATGTCAGGAGTTTTGGTTGGAGGGGAAAAGGATAGGACCCCCTCCACAGAGAAAATGCCAGTGACCAGAGAGCTGCCATGTCCCATGAAATCGCCCCTGAGCTGAAGAAATTCAGGGTTGTTGACCTCCCCTTCATTTTTTGTTTGTAGATAAATAAACTTAAAACATACTTTCCAAAAGGAAAGCAATAAAAATCTATACAATATGCACCTAAAGAACAGCATGCTCGCCTACTTCCCCTGCCATCTCAGGAAAGCCATAATGGAAATATTATTAACAAAGACATTTGCAAGATCTCACTCTTCAGCTATT